CCTTCCTCCCTCCTCCTCCTCACTCCAGTCGTCCCCCCTTCTCCTGCCCCCTCCAGTCTTCCTCCTCCTCCTCCCTCCAGCCTTCCTCTCTCCCTCCTCCTCCTCACCCCTCCAACCTTCCTCCCTCCTCTTCCCTCTACCCTCTCCATCCCTCTAGCCTTCCTCTCCACCTCCTCACCTCCAGCCTTCCTCCTCCTCACCTCTCCAGCCTTCCTATCTTCCTCCTCGTCCCTCCACCCTCCATCTCTCCCTCCAGCCTTCCTCCCCCCCTCCTCACTTCTCAAGTCTTCCTCCCTCCTCCCCATCCCACTGCCCCGCACCTCTCCCTCCTCCCTCCAGCCTTCCTTCCTCCTCCTCCTCACCCCTCCAGTCTTCTCCCTCCCTCCTCCCCACCTCCCTTCCTCCCTACCTCATCCCCATCCCTCTGCCCTCCATCCCTCCCTCCTCCTCCTCCCTCCAGCCTTCCTCCACTACATCCCTCTAGCCTCTCTCGCCCGCTTCATCCCTCCAGCCTTCATCCCTCCTCCTCCCTCCAGCCTTCCTCCCTCCTTCTCCTCCTCATCACTTCAGCTTCCTTTCCTCCCTCTTCCTGGTCCCTCCAGCTGTCCTCCTTCCTCCTCCTCCCCCTTCCAGTCTCCCTCTCTCCCTCCTCCTGGTCCCTCCTCCTCCCTCCAGCCTTCCTCCCCATCACTCCAGCCTCCTTCCCTCCTCCTGGTCCCTCCAGCCTTCATCTCTCCTCCTCCTGGTCCCTCCATCCTCTATCTCCTCCTCATCATCATCCCTCTAACTTCCATCTCCTCCCTCCTCCTCCTCCCTCCCGCCCCTCTCCCTCCTCCCCCCCCCCCCCCCCCCCCCCCCCCCCCTCCCGGTCCCTCCAGCCTTCCTCCCTCCTTCTCCTCATCCCTCCATCCTCCATCTCCTCCTCTCTCCAGCCTTCCTCCCTCCTCCTACCCATTACTCCAGCCTCCCTCCCCCCCTCCCTCCTCCCGGTCCTTCCAGCCTTCCTCCCTCCTCCTCATCCCTCCAGCCTTCATCCTCCTCCCTCCTCCTCACCCGGCCAGCCTTCTTCCCTCCTCCTCTCCATTACTCCAGCCACCCTCCCTCCCTCCTCCCGGTCCCTCCATCCTTCTTCTCTCCTCCTCCTCATCCCTCCATCATCCTCCTCCTCACCCCTCCAGCCTTCATCCCTCCGTCCTCCTCCTCCCTCCTCCTTCTCTCCTCCTCCTCACCCCTCCAGCCTTCATCTCTCCTCCTCCCTGTCCCTCCATCCTTCCTCCCTCCTCCTCCTCCTCCCCATCACTACAGACTTCATTCTCATTTATTTATTTATTTCTCTTCACATCCCTCCCCCTTCTGTGTCCAAACAGCCCTGGGTTGTAATCAGGAGCACGCTGCTTTCCCACTGCTTACAAAAGCACAGAGCAAACCAGAACATGGTGGGCAGGGAAACACAAGCAGGATTAAATACCAACATAAATCATTTTGAGGGTGTAGGACCAGGAACAATTTTACTTTTCACATTTCACTCAGCATTTAAAAAGCATAACCACCTCCAAGCTCCAAAAGACACCTCCTCACCTCCATTGTGGAATGGAAACCAGGGGGATGTGTGGCTGCTGGGCGGTGGTGCAGTCTCAGTGCCATTCTCCAGCCTCCCTCCCTCCCTCCCTCCTCCCGGTCCTTCCAGCCTTCCTCCCTCCTCCTCATCCCTCCAGCCTTCATCCTCCTCCCTCCTCCTCACCCGGCCAGGTTTCTTCCCTCCTCCTCCCCATTACTCCAGCCACCCTCCCTCCCTCCTCCCGGTCCCTCCATCCTTCTTCTCTCCTCCTCCTCATCCCTCCAGCCTTCATCTCTCCTCCTCCCTGTCCCTCCAGCCTTCCTCCCTCCTCCTCCTCCTCCCCATCACTCCAGCCTTCATCCCTCCCTCCTCATCATGCCTCCAGCCGCCTTCTCTGCTCCTCCTCACCCCTCCATCCTCCTCCCTCCTCCTCCTCACCCCTCCATCCTCCCTCCTCCTCCTCCTCACCCCTCCAGCCTTCCTCCCTCCTCCTCCCCATCACTCCAGCCTTCATCCCTCCCTCCTCATCATCCCTCCAGCCGCCTTCTCTGCTCCTCCTCACCCCTCCATCCTCCTCCCTCCTCCTCCTCACCCCTCCATCCTCCCTCCTCCTCCTCCTCACCCCTCCAGCCTTCCTCCCTCCTCCTCCCCATCACTCCAGCCTTCATCCCTCCCTCCTCATCATCCCTCCAGCCGCCTTCTCTGCTCCTCCTCACCCCTCCATCCTCCTCCCTCCTCCTCCTCACCCCTCCATCCTCCCTCCTCCTCCTCCTCACCCCTCCAGCCTTCCTCCCTCCTCCTCCCCATCACTCCAGCCTTCATCCCTCCCTCCTCATCATCCCTCCAGCCGCCTTCTCTGCTCCTCCTCACCCCTCCATCCTCCTCCCTCCTCCTCCTCACCCCTCCATCCTCCCTCCTCCTCCTCCTCACCCCTCCAGCCTTCCTCCCTCCTCCTCCCCATCACTCCAGCCTTCATCCCTCCCTCCTCATCATCCCTCCAGCCGCCTTCTCTGCTCCTCCTCACCCCTCCATCCTCCTCCCTCCTCCTCCTCACCCCTCCATCCTCCCTCCTCCTCCTCCTCACCCCTCCAGCCTTCCTCCCTCCTCCTCCCCATCACTCCAGCCTTCATCCCTCCCTCCTCATCATCCCTCCAGCCGCCTTCTCTGCTCCTCCTCACCCCTCCATCCTCCTCCCTCCTCCTCCTCACCCCTCCATCCTCCCTCCTCCTCCTCCTCACCCCTCCAGCCTTCCTCCCTCCTCCTCCCCATCACTCCAGCCTTCATCCCTCCCTCCTCATCATCCCTCCAGCCGCCTTCTCTGCTCCTCCTCACCCCTCCATCCTCCTCCCTCCTCCTCCTCACCCCTCCATCCTCCCTCCTCCTCCTCCTCACCCCTCCAGCCTTCCTCCCTCCTCCTCCCCATCACTCCAGCCTTCATCCCTCCCTCCTCATCATCCCTCCAGCCGCCTTCTCTGCTCCTCCTCACCCCTCCATCCTCCTCCCTCCTCCTCCTCACCCCTCCATCCTCCCTCCTCCTCCTCCTCACCCCTCCAGCCTTCCTCCCTCCTCCTCCCCATCACTCCAGCCTTCATCCCTCCCTCCTCATCATCCCTCCAGCCGCCTTCTCTGCTCCTCCTCACCCCTCCATCCTCCTCCCTCCTCCTCCTCACCCCTCCATCCTCCCTCCTCCTCCTCCTCACCCCTCCAGCCTTCCTCCCTCCTCCTCCCCATCACTCCAGCCTTCATCCCTCCCTCCTCATCATCCCTCCAGCCGCCTTCTCTGCTCCTCCTCACCCCTCCATCCTCCTCCCTCCTCCTCCTCACCCCTCCATCCTCCCTCCTCCTCCTCCTCACCCCTCCAGCCTTCCTCCCTCCTCCTCCCCATCACTCCAGCCTTCATCCCTCCCTCCTCATCATCCCTCCAGCCGCCTTCTCTGCTCCTCCTCACCCCTCCATCCTCCTCCCTCCTCCTCCTCACCCCTCCATCCTCCCTCCTCCTCCTCCTCACCCCTCCAGCCTTCCTCCCTCCTCCTCCCCATCACTCCAGCCTTCATCCCTCCCTCCTCATCATCCCTCCAGCCGCCTTCTCTGCTCCTCCTCACCCCTCGGGCAAAGCCCCAACACACAGAAAAGTTGCCAGAAGCAGCGGGTTTGGGAAAGGAGAAGGGATGAGGATGGAGCAGGGACGGGGAGGGAACAGGGACAGGGATGGAGCAGGGATGGGGATGGAGTAGGGATTGAAAGGAACAGGTTTGGGGATGGAGCAGGGATGGGAAAGAAGGGATAGGAAAGGAATAGGGACAGAGAAGGGGCAGGGATGGGATGGGAAAGGGATGGGAAAGGAGAAGGGATGGAAAGGAGCAGAGATGGGGATGGAGCAGGGATGGGAAGGAACAGGTTTGGGGATGGAGAAGTATGGGGATGGAGAACGGATGGGAAAGGAGAAGGGATGGGGATGGAACAGGGACGGAAAGGAGCAGGTTCGGGGATGGAGCAGGGATGGAAAAGAGAAGGGACAGGGATGGAGCAGGGACAGGAATGGAGCAGGGATGGGGATGGAACAGGGATGGGAAAGGACGAGGGATGGGGATGGAGAAGGGATGGGAAAGGAGAAGGGATGGGGATGGAAAAAGGATGGGAAAGGAGCAGGGATGGAAAGGAGCAGGGACAGGGATGGAGCAGGGATGGGGACAGAGCAGGGACAATACGGTGGCAGGAGGACAGGGAAAAACTTGAGACTCTGCCAGGGATGACGCTGACAAGTGGGACCCTGAGAGCCGCTGGACGGTGTCCGTGGGGGGAGGTCCCGGCCGGGTCCCCCTCCCGGTATCCCCTCGCACTGCCGCCCCCCCGATGGCGATGGCCTGCGCCCCGCCGTCACCCCCCCGCCCCGGGCAGGGGCGAGCCCCCCGTCCACCCCCGCCAAACACGGGGGCTGCCACCGCGACACCCTCGCAGCCTCAGCGGCAGCTTTATTACTGAAAGCAGCACAAAAACACCCTCTCCCGGTTACTGGCACCATGGCAGCGGGAGGGAAGGAGAAGCATGTCCCCGCTCCGCCATCCCACGCTGCGGGGAGGGGGTCAGGCCCCCCGCCGAGCTTTTGCAGGGGTTGACGTCCCCAAAGGCTGCGGGACACCACCGGGGCACCCGCTCCTAAAGGGCAGGAGAAGGCAAATGGGTCCTGCCGGGTGAGAAAGGGCAGAAATACATAAAGCCAGTGGGCGTTGGGGCTCGAGGGGGCTGGAAAACCCACCCGCATCTCCCATCCGCAGCGGGACCTGGGGTAGGGGGAGGGAAGGGCTGAAACGGCCGCTTTCCCAAAATTTCTCTGCAAAGGCCCCGAGCAAGGCGCCGGGGGGCACAACCGCCGGGGTACCCCCACCCGCGGGGCTCCACACCGGGAGCGGGCAGACGCCGCTGCAGCAGGGGCAGTCCTGCCCTCCGAAAATGAGAGACTGGAGCTTTTCTGTAGGAATGAGAGAAAAAGGGAGAGCTCTGCCCCCGGGCACAGCGCGCCGGCGCTGGAGAGCCCAACTTGTGCTGCCCGGGTGTTATCAATAGATCCTCCAGGGAACTGAACGGGGCCGAGGAAGTAACCAATGCAAGTTTATAAAAGCTTTTATTTGCTCTTGGTATGACCAAGAATGGGACAGTGATCTTTTATACAATTTGATACAGTAAGT